TGTGTGACTCCTCTTCCCCCACCCCCCATACTGAAAGGGTCACAACAGTTCCATCTCTGGGACTCTCAAGACCTGTCAGTCTCCAGATGTTCACATATGCATGTCACTGTCCTTGATTGCAGGATTCTGCTGCCAGCTTACCCTTTTCCCAGTGTGACACCCCCATGCCTCCTCACACCCTCTCCACCTGCTTGCAGAGATCAGTGTACTTCTCGATCATTGTCCATATCTTTTCCAAAAAGATTCCTCAATGCTTTTCTTTTCAAAAGGGAAAAAAAAAGGAAAAAAAAAACAATGCCAACAGCCCAGCGTCCGTGAGCAACCCAACAGTAACAAAGCATGCGTTCGGGATGGAGGAAGGTAAGGCCACATGTTTCCATTTGCCGCTTGCTCCTAGGGCTGGGCAGCTGGGATGACTCCAAGGGGGGATCCTGCGTGCACCCCTCCTTCATGCCCTGTTCTCACATGCTCATTCTTCTATCTTCAGTGGAAAGAAGAGACAAGGGGTTTGACATTTGACAGAGGCACAAAGGAAAGTACCTAGGAGACTATCCCAGGACCTTTTCCTAGTGCTTTATGCTGGAAAATGGCTTCCCAGCTTCTCTTCTATGCCATTCATTCATTCATTCATTCATTCATTCATTCCACAAGTGGTTTTTGAGCACCAGCTATTTTCTAGGCTGTAGTTTTGCTGCTGGAGAATACAGAGTTAAGGCACAGACACCCCTACCCCAGGGCTCTGCACCTGGAAGGAAACACACACTTGGGAGCACTGGAGGGCCTGCCTAGGAGTCAGCATGGAGGCTGGTGGGGCACGGTGGGTTCTGCATGGGAACAGGAAGTACTCAACAGAGGAGCAGACAACCATGCAATGCTTGGGAAAATGAGCAAACACTCTGGGGCCCAGGGAGCCTGGCAGGCTTTTCAGTCACAGGAAGTCGCAGGAGCCCAGGTCCAAGGGCCTAGAGCTGTCTACTCAGGTTCCTTACTTGGGTTCCTCAGAACAGTGTGGAATGCTGGGAGGCAGAGCATACAAGGCTGTTTGGTAGAGATGGGGAGGTTAGCCCTTATCCTGGGGACCATGAGGGTTCACTGATGGTCTTTAAGCAGATGAAAAGCAAAAGAGATTTGTGCACAGATCACTGTGCCTTGCTGTAGGGGTACGTGCGAGGGTGAAGTCTGGAGGTCAGGAGCCCAGGTGGGCAACACCAGGGCAGTGGCAGTGATGAGGTGTACAGGAAACAAGTCAGCAGAGCCCTGGTTACCCCAGGATGTGGGGGTGAGGGAGAGGCATGCCCATCTCCCTCTAACCCAGGCCTAAGCAAGGAGAAAATTTTGAGCTAGGAAGCTCAGGCTGTACCTGGCCCCCAGAGCAGCAAATTCATTTTATAGTCACATGATGAATGGGGGATGTGTCCGCTCAGATGTGTGGTGGGGTCACTGAGGCTGCTGAGGGTGTTGCTGGGGACTGACACCAAGGGTGGTGCAGTCCCACGCTTGGTCCTGGGCTACAATTTCCTCACCTTCCTTTGTGTGGATGTGTCGCATTTGCATCAAGACTGTTGGGACTGTCCCTCTGCTCAGAAACAGGGCCACCACCCTTCCCCATACTAGTGGCCTTTTCTGCTCCTTTCTTCCTCAGCCTGGTGTCCAGATCTCAAGGAAGCCCGTGCTTTTCTTGCTCCTGCCATACTCTTCTCTTGCCCTCCTGGCCCTGCTGTCAGCGCCCCCTAGTGCCAGGACAGCCGCGCAGGAGGGCATGGGCCTCTGAAACCAAGTGGTAACCTCAGAGGTCTCCCCCAAACTCTTGGCTTGCTTGTGGCTAAAGAAGGGAATGGAGGATCTCTCTTGGAGTCTGAAGCTTTCCTATAGAATATCCAGGGTCTACTCTTTGCTTTTCCATCCTCTCCCTCTTGTGGTGTGATAGCCTGTACCCAGGTTAGGGTGGTACTGAAGAATGAGTAACCTCCTGCCTTGTTTTTTATTCATACCCAGATATCTCTTGACCTTCCCAGGATCAAAGCCCTAAGGGCAACTGGTGTCTCTTGGAGATCAGGGACTACAGCCAGGCCCTCAGCCTACGTCCACAGTCCCACTCCTTCCACTGCCTGCAAACTGCTGAGAGATAGCCAGTGTCCCTACATGCTCATGTCCCAGACTAGGCCCAGGTCCACACAAGGCTGTGCAGTGCAAGTGCCCCTAACATCTGACCCAGGTGCCTTCCTTGTTCCTACCCCACTCTGTGGCTGCGGCTGCTGGGCAGCCTCGGTGCTTGTCAGGGATAGGTGGCCTCCAGAGCAGGAGGGTCAGTGGTTATAAAGTTCCTGGCAAACTGGTGATGACCAGTCCAGGAGTGAAGACCACAACACACTCATTCCCTCACCAAAGCTGTACTTTGTATGGTGGAGTGGGGGCCATGCACCTGGAGCGGGTGCAGGCTAGAGATCAAGGTCTCAAGCCAGACCAGGCAAGTGTAATGTTGGGTACACCATGTTGTTTCTGGTGCCTGCTTTGAGGTGGATAGGCAAGACCCCATAGTCACAGGCTGGTGTGCCTTGGAGAAGCCTAGGCTGCAGGCCGTATCTCAGGCTGAGAAAGACTCTAGAGACTGTCCAGGCATGTGTGTGCCCACATGAAAGAACTAACAAGGAACAGAACCCGGTCATCTGCAGAAAGCCAAGAAGTGCTTCCTTTCTCCTTGGATTCAACAAGCAGGGATCCTGCTCCCAACTCCTTACCCCATTGCTGCCTTGGGTGGATCAGTTAAGGTGCTAATAGTTGAATGAAATGGTTCAGACTGCCGAATTCAAGATGGCAGTATGGATGTGCAGAGGCCAGGGAAGGAGAGGAGCTAGGTACTTCCTGCATGCTTTACAAGTTGACTAAACATGTCCGTTTTGAGAGGCCTTTAGGAGATTTGAAGGCTGAGAGGAAGGGAGAAGGGAAGCACTCAGGCAAGTAGAGACCCTGTCTCCTTGGGAATAGGGCCCCCTCTAGCCAAGCATTCCCTCCTACAGGAAAACAGGACACTTTCCAGAAGGTATCAAGGCCTGACCAGCAGACAAATTGTGTGGGTGATAACGAGCGAACAAATAATGGCTAAGCTAGGGCGGAAGCTCTAGGGACAAGTGGGACCAGAAAGGAGAAATAGAAACAGATCAGGCTGGGAAGCTGCAGTCCTGACTTCTCGTCACCTGTAGATCCAGGAATGCAGATGCTGTGGAGCTGGAGGAGCATGCTGGCTGAGCATGAGTATGTGCGCAGGCACTGGCCCATGCCCCATGAATAACAGTGTTGTCGACCATCAGTGTGGCAGAAGTTATGCCCTAACAGGCTTCCCCACAATGAGGAAAAGAAAAGACTAAGGTCTAAAATGAGTCTGCCAGCCAAGGGGGCTTCTCCATTCCCTGGCTGAGCCTCTCTGTGACCTGAGCTGCCACCTGGCCCTTCTGGGGAGCAGGTAGGAGCTCCCCTGCAGAAGGATGTGAGTGGACCCAGAATGGTGCCTCAAGGTGAGCAGCCTGGCCCAGGGTCTGCCTGCTCCCCCTGCTCCCTCCTCTGACCAGGCCTGGCCCTCTGCTCTGTCTTGCAGAACTTCAGCGAGAGGGAAGCATCGAGACACTGAGTAACAGCTCAGGTTCCACCAGCGGCAGCATCCCCAGAAATTTTGATGGCTACCGATCTCCGCTCCCCACCAATGAGAGCCAGCCCCTCAGCCTCTTTCCCACCGGCTTCCCGTAGGTACCAGCAACCTGCTTCCAACTGGCCGGCCCACTCACCCACTGGAGGGAGGGGGAGAAGCCCCCCTCTGGTCCTGCCCTTCAGTCTGCTCCTCTTTCATCAACCACGTTCCCCAAGCTTAGTGACAACAGTCCCCCATCCTACCTGGATTGAGAAGAGACCCTTCTCTAAAGCACCTCAGCGCATCCTGACCTCTACTGTTCCCGTCAGTGGGGGCTGTGGCCAAGAAAGACTGCGGAAGCTCAGTCCCCTTCTCCATTTGCACATGATGTCCTGCATTGGATCCGCTTTTGTATTTTCTAACCATACCCACAGGGGCCTGGAACAGTGGCCAGATCTTGGGGCCTGAGTGGGGAGAGGGTGGATGGTCCAGCTGGGTATTTTGGCCCTGAGTGGATAGTCTCAGCCCCAGCCCACTTCAGGCTGTGATACACACTGCCCCCAGCGTCCCTTGCTCAGCTCTCCTCCAGTATGGGGTGAACTGAGGCCCAGAGTAATAGGGGAGGATGCTTTCCCCATCAACTCATGGGAAGAATTTATCTTTCTTATCTTTAAGCCCTTTTACCCTGGTCCTGTGCTGTTCAGTGAAGGAAACTGTGGTTACTGAGGCCCTGTTGAAAAGTGCACGTCTTGTCCAATAAATCACGCTGCAATTGGTGTCCATTCCTGAGTTATTAGGGTCAGGGTCCTGGCCAAATGCTCAACAGAGTACTGTGAGCTTGACCATGTGCCCCGGCTCCCAGTGTACCCCACATGTGCTACCGTGGGGAAGCCAGTGAGGGGCAGGCAGGGGGAGGAGGATCTGCTCTGAAGTTGGGGTGGGGCCTAATTTTAGTCCATTCTTCAAACTCTTTGCCTCTTATCAGAGGAAGTGAGTTCTGGAGGCACCAGGCATGGACCCTCCCTGTTGGAGGCCATCAAGGCCTGACCTGTATGTTGGTTACTGAGAAGAGAGCTTGGTTAAGACCCTGGCCTTGCCTTCAGGACACCTTCAGATTGCCTCTTTTCAAGGTCAGAAGATGGGTGGGCAGCTAGGTGAGAGTGGGTATCCCATGAAACCTGGCTGGGGCCTCAGATGGCAAGTCCTGATTGTGTTCCCTCCCTCTTCCCTAAGTGAATGGTGACAAGGAGAAGAGGTGAGTGAATGAGAAGGTGTTGAGCAGAGCAATTGAGGCCAGTTCTAATCCCTCTTCCCTGGCCCACACTTCTGAGAGATCCCATGGAGACCTTGGAGGATTGAAGGAAACCACTGAGCCAGGTGTGGTTTGAGGTGGAGTTTAATGGAACAGTTGTAGAAGGGTTGTGTTCACAGACAAGCAGAACTTCCCACCTTCCTCCTGGGCCCCTGCCCCCTTCACACACCCCATCCCACTCCTGGTGCCTGAGAAGAGACTTAATCTGCAGTCCCCTCCATGAGGTCATTTGGGCATGTGGGAAGAAGAGACCCACATCACACTAGACTCTGTAGGCTGAGGAGATGGTCCCTCCTGCCTGGGCTCCTGTGGAGTGAGAAACACTGAGCCAGAGTGAGGTGTTCTGGAAATACAAGGAGGCCTGGGCACAGCCAGTGGCAGGTGCTGCAGGAGTGGTAGCTTGTCCCCATTTGCGCTGCACTGGAGACACTGACTGACATGCCAGGCACGGCCCCAGCCCCCAGCTAAGGTAGCATTTCAGTCAAAAGGGAAGAGGATGTCACCAGGCTGCCTGTGTATACTGCCTGTGGCCTGGCTCTCTGGGGCTGTGAGCAGAAGTTCTAGGAAGCATGAGCCCCTTTGCACCCACCCCGGGGCATGTGGATAGGGCGAAGACCTTGCTCCCGGGAGCTCTCAGCCATGCAGGGAACCAGCAGAGCACCTTGGAGTCAGGAGTCCTCCCTGGCCCAGCCCTTCCCCTCCAGTGGGGGCAAAACAGCTGTGGCCTCCTCCAGTCAGGGAAAGTGGTGGGTGTAGGGCTGGACTTGCTGGCTGAGCTTGCAGGACAATCTGGTTATTCATCTGCTCACAGTCAGGGCAACTCTTGGAGTATGTGGGGGAAGGGGAAGGATCAGAAAGCCCAGATAAGCTGGCCCCATGGCGGCTGCCACTGGAGCTCAGGTTATCAGAAAGGCCCTGGGCCTGGCCCCTGGCTAATTGGGGAGGTTATAGACCCTGCCACAGCCAGTAATCAGCTGGAAGTGTGATCTGGGCCCCAGGGCAGGGGACCTTACAGCCCCCTGGAGCAGCCAGCCTCCTACCTCTAAAGATAACTCCAGGGCAATCTCCACCCCCTCCCCAATAGTCCCAACAGACCTTATGATAGCATCACCTACAAGGTCATCAGAACTTGAATCTAATTATGGCTGGACCAGGTGACCTTGAGGAAGCCATGGGATCTCTCTGATTCTCACAGCACATTCAATGGGCAAAATACTATGGACTCAATCTGATGGAGGGAAAATATCTTCAGGAACCTGGAGTGGCAACTCAAAAGGAACAGCACTGTTTGGGGTTGACTTGAGAAAAAAAAAAATCCAGTGGTCCCAAGGCAAATTCATGCACAGACACAAATATTAGGACCAGCTTTTCAGGAGGCATGCAGAAGTCAAGTCAGGCAGCTACCATTCTGCAGCTGGGGTTGGTTTCTCAATGCTCATCTTTTATTTTCACAGATCGGAGAATCTCTAAACTACAAAACTCTTTGGTCCCTGTTTTGCAGATGACAAGCCTGAGAAAGGCAGGGCTTTGCCTAAGTCAGAGCCATACAGCTAGCCAGCTAAACCCTGTCTATACCTTGCTGCTTCCCATGCCCCAGCCAGTTCCCTTACAAGGGCCCAAATCTGACCTGAGCTCCCTGTCCTGTGCCCCCACATAATCTTGGACTCATCCTACTAACCCCAATGCCTTCCTTACCCCTTCAAGCTTCCAGGTCAGGGCCCCTGTATAACTGGGAAGGCAGTGCTCTCCTGCAGACCTAGACCTGGAAGCTCTAAGGACAAAAGGAGAGAGCATCCTTGTATTCAAAACAAGACCTCAGGAGGGTGGAGATCCTGGAGTGTCAGTGTGACCTTGCCCTATGAGCATAAGAAGGCAGCTTGGCAGCAATGTCATCACCACCTTCTAATAAGGAGTGACTTTGGGCTTGCTCCTTTACTGTCCCAGGATTCCATTACAGCTCTGCCACCAGTAGTCATATGGCCTTGGGTGAATTACTGCTCCTCTGGGCTTCAGGGTCCTCATCTGTGAAGGCAAGGGTGAGGGAAGAAGGGATCAGGAGCAATAGAACTGAAGCAGGCCAAGGGAAAGCTGCTGGTCAGAAAGGCAAAAGGGTGTTTGCAGGCAGGAGGCGACAAGCCAGGCCAGGCTTGGTAGCTCATTGGCGGGCGAGGGGTAGGGTGGGCAGAGATGGCGCAGCCGGAACCCAGATTGTGCTGCCCACAAAGCTGCTCCAGAGAATCCCTGCCCCACTGCCTGCGAATCAAGAGCCCGGTGAGCACTAGCTGACTAGCCCCGCCCCTCTGTCGCAGGTGGGCTCATCCTAGGGGCCCAGTAGGTCTTTCCGAGCTTCACCCACTCTATCAAGCCACTAAGAGGAATGCGGGTTCACGTCCCCGCGATCCCAGACACCCCCACCTTTGCTCGTCCACGCATACGCAGGTTCAAGACGCGCACCTCACTATTGTGGACCTTTATGTCCTAAGCGCACAGCTGCGACCCGCGAAACCGCGGCCCAGAGCAGTAAGTAGTCCGCAGTTCCTAGGGTAACAAGATCCCCAAACTCTGAGGAAGGCGCTTGAAGTCCGGAGGAGGCACGGCCTGGATTCCAGGCCGCACTCTCTGTCTCAGGTGCAGAGCGACGCCCCTCGAGGGCCAGCCAGATCCATTCCGCCCCATAACAGCCAGGCTGGGCCTCGCCTTCCCATGAGCCTGAAAGACAAGGGGCCTGGGCCACACAGACCATGGCTACGGAGGCACTTCCCAGAGCCTAACTAGAGGAAGTGGTTCCGCAGCCAGTCCTAGCACAAGACCGCAGCCACACCGCGACCAGAAGGGGGTCTAGCTGCCTGCTCTTCCCGCGTCCCCCGCCCCATCCCAGTCAGTTGGCCCGACTCTGCGCGGGGTAATTGGGGCGGGAGGGAGGCGACGGGCGGGCGGCGGCTCCAGAGAGACTGCGCGCCTGTCAGCCGCAATTTGTTTAAGTGGACGGGACAGGCCGGGCCGCTGCGGGATGGGGTCACCGAGGCCGCGGCCCACACCCCGGCCAGACCCAGGACCGCGGGGGAGCCCAGCTGGGCCGCTAAACTGGGCTGGCTGGCGCCAAGTCTCCTAGAGGCGCGGGTCTGGCACAGAAGCGGTGGATGGGAAGCAACTCACGGGAGTGTCTTCATTCAC